TGAAGAAAATTCAAAAAATATAAGTGGACTCGACCAAAGTGTTACTTGGACTGCTGCCGTTAAATACCCAGAGTCAGTCAGAGTGAGTGGAGATAATAAGAAGACTGAGATGTGGTTGAGGTAGAGTAATAGTGGGAGGTAACCTCTTGTAGAAGTCAGTTACAAGCACGTAGATTCTAAGGAAGTCCTACTTCGAGACTGTATATATCTATATGTTATTACTACTAACCGCGTTCCTGGATTTACTAACAGTATTACCCTTTGTATTATTGTGTAAATACATTTTATTTCTTATATTTAGTTCCTGCGTTTGTCATTCATTGGAGGCCGAATTTGATCTCGGAATCCACAACAATAAATATATAGGAACTATTTTTAACATAGAATGGAGAATGAAATATACAAATCCAAACGCGTATTACTATAGCAAAAATTGTCTTCCAAAAGCTAAGCAAGAATTTTGTAGAAATAAAAAAAACAAAAAACATTTGTTGGAAATGAAGAAAACACTCATGAAATGTTATGCATTATCGGTCCTCCTCTAGAGAAGTAAATACTGGACAATCTCCCAAGTGATAAAAAGAGACTTGAGACAAAAGCATGATGCTGTGAATACCAGAGACTGAACACGTGGACAAAAGAAAAGTTTTATGAAAAATAGAAACACACACACACACACACACACTCAAAAAAAAAACATGTACATAATCAGAATTAAATAGTTAGCACATACTGAGGAAAAAATATTTAGAAAATTTGACTTTTACAAAACATAGCCAAGGCATTCTATAGTTGATAGAAAAGTGATTAGTAGAGATTATAAAAAATAGATTTTTACTAAGAGCTACAAAGGATTGGAAATGGTGGAAAGCCATCATCGCCCAGACACTGAATGGACACGGCACATAGAGCAAGAATTTATGTATTATTATAATACTATATTTTATTATATTATCATAAATCATATTTTTGTATTCTATATATTAGACACCTCCTACATTTTTAGAGTTATGTTTAGTTTTGAATATTTCAAATGCTGATATTTTTTCATGTTACTAAATAACTTACATTTGGAGTGATAATAAATGATGCTTAAATCAGAAATACGTAAAAGCCGGTAAATTTTTCTATACATCGATACGATTGTAAGAGATTTAGAGGCCCTTGTAGGATTTCTGAACGGATGACATAGTCTTAACATTGTATGATACGCAGATGACAACATATTGGTGGTAAATTGAAAAATAAATTGAAAGAACACTTACATGGCATAGTAAAGGAGAACTATCAGAGAATCATATTTGTTTGACAATCAACGTCTACCGAATAATTCCGTGATAATTTAAATATTTAAAGTAACATTTTTATTATAGATTTCTATAAAGAAATTGTCTGGCATTACCTAGAGAATTACAACTATCATATAATAATGCATAGCAGCTCGGAATGAGATCAAATTTCTTTCGTATCTGTTACATTCACTTACTCACTAATAACCTTAGAAATTCATCTTCTACTCCGAGATGTAAGTTGAAAAGTAGGAAATATATACTGAAAAATTATTAGACTTTTTTCGTATAATATACACACGAAAAAAAAAATTCTTTTAACCCAAAATATGTTTTAGTTTTAAGTAGACAAAGGGCTATTTTGTCATTTCCTTTAAAGAAGATGTACTACAGTATGCTCTACGTTTGTATTGACCAATTTTTAAAAATATAAATGCCAGAGAACTGTTTGTTCTTTCTCTTCATATATATATATATATATATATATATATATATATATATATATATATATATATATATATATATATATATTGTATTCTGATTATATATATTAGACGCATCTTAGTTTTTTAAATATATTTTTAGTCTTGAATATTTCAAAGACAGATAGTTTTATTTTTCATGATGTAAAATAACTTGCGTGTGCAATGATGATAAATAAAACATTCTAGTTGCTTAAATCAAATACACAGTGACATATGAGTGCATTGTCTGTGGACGGTATTGCCCTGGTTCATGACTGCTCATCGTTAAACTTTTGGTCACGTAGAAATAATAATTATTCCACGTGACTCGAATCTCGAGACATGGTTATTCACGTTTGAGATAGAATGATCATGAACAAAAATTAACATCCCCCTTCAGGTGTTCCAAGAAATAGGACTCAAAAGAAAACTTTCCCAAACATGAATTATCATCTAGAAGTGGAATGAAAATCCCGGATGTAGGAATCGTTATTGACTATACAAGGGAGGAACAGTTATAATAAATTCAGTATAGAAATCAAGGAAATTGCACACGGAATAGGCTGAGATAGGGCTAATTTCGTCCATCACTATAAGAGGATACAACACCATATCAGTGACATAAAGTCGTACCATTTTCTTAAATAATCTTGACTTATTAATATTTTCATGGACACTTGAACGTTGTATAATGATTAGAAAGCTTGTCTCACTAGGTCAATTACCACTGAAAGGTGAGTGCGACCTCACTGGGTGCGCACAAACTTTCGGTCATGGGCCGTATCTGAGCTACGCTTAGGAAATTACCATATCAATATTTTCATATGGATGTCATAAATGGCACCAAAATATTTCAGAAACATCTGATCTGTCGGTTTATACAATCGACAGATCAGATGTTCCTGAAATATTTATACAAACGATTTCTTAGATCAATGGTCAAAAAAAAAAAAAGACTTCGAGAGAAAGAAGTCTTCAGATGGTAGCAAGAATCATATCTCTTCGAACCATGTGGAATGAAGTTGCATAATCATTAACAAAGAACTCTACCAAATATCAGAAACCACATCTCTTGAAGATTTTAAATAACGGTAGCGACGAAAACGGCTATGAGATGTGACTCGAAGAGTAAATAATGATATAAACAAGATATGCACTGGCTGCTCGGACTATTAATACAGAAAGTTTCACTATAAGGAAACTGTTAATATTACCACTACTAATACTATTATCACTGAACATGAAAAATATAATATCAGATGTGTTATACATTCAATACAATTGCAAAATTACTTGAATAATGTGAATTTTGAAAGATATGTGTAAAACGTAAAAAAATGATATTAAGAAATTCTTTGATAAATTTTAATAATATCCATGAATGAAGAGTTAATTTAAAGCTGATCAGCACCTTTGCAAATGAAAAAAATATGCTAAATGATCTAAGAAAGTATGCGATTTGAAAATGGCTATCAAATTCTACAAGAATAAGGTTAAAATACAGTGAACAATATATGCTACTATTTCATGTGTGAATTTCGCCCGAATGAAAAGTTTAGTTTTGTTTGGTTTGTTTTGTTTCACGGCATATCAACCGCAATGGGCTATTTAATGCCGACATTTTTTCCTGGTATTATTTTGTTTTGTCAAAAATCTATTTCTTGTAATATTCTTTTCCTGAAATGTATAGCTGGTAATATTTTCAAAAACGTATTGCTGGTAATATTTAAAAAAATATATATTTCTGGTAATAATTTTTACAATGTATTTCTGATATTAAAACTTATTTTTACACTTTTATAATGCTTTTTACCTAAGTTTCGACGTTAACAATTTGCCCATAGCTGAAACCCTAACAGGTACTACCACCCCGGATCAGGGTGGACCTGGGAACATCAGCAATTAACAGGTGGTTCTAAGCTACTTACAATCTCCTAATCAGAGGCCTTGCTGTTGGAAGTAGTTTATCGTCTAATCTGGATGCGGGTGTAGTTTATCGTCATATCCGGGACGACAGAATGAAAAAAACATAACGGATTCTACTATCGCTATTGCTTCTAATTAATGCAGAGAAAGATTATAGCGTTGAAAAAGTTGCATGGAGAACAATGTAACGAAAGAATAACATTTAAATTATGCTTCACGATAGATTTATATAAGATTTATTAGGCGATTTTAATGTCTGACTTGCCCAGAAGGACATAGAATGTGAGTTCAATTTTTCTCGACGGATTTCTTAGATTAGACCAAATATGGAATATTTTTCTATTTCTTCATCATCCTGCCATGATATATTTCAAAATCGTTTACTTGGTCTTCCTGGGGGGGGGGGTGATGCGGCTGCTCTAATCTCTACGTTGGTCTCTCTTTCCCAAAGACGCAGAATCACAAGCCTATCGATACTTTATCGCAAATACCCAGATGTGCACCATTTTTTAGTTCCACTTCTTCAGACCATTACACCTAAGAGTGGTCACGCTTCTTACATAGAATCTAATCATCCTTATTGCCAGCGTTTTACAGAAGTAAAGAGAAACATCCGATGAGTGTAGCTGTTTCTCCAAAATAAATACTTTGTGAAACATAAGCTCGCGTAGATGTTTCCTGGCAAAAATGTTAACCTGTTTATATCAAAGGTCATTTGTTATCTATCCGTATTACGCTCATAATATTAATCTTCCTTCATTCATATTCCAAACCTCATTTATAATAAACATCTTAAGCATAATATTCTATTTTAAGTATCTGTATGGACATTTTAGAGGGTGCAGAAAAATTATCTTCACTTTCTTACTACTAATCCATTCTGAATTCTGAATAGTCGGTGAATATAAAAACAAGCAGGAAACTGAGATAACATGTAACAATGCTAAAAGAATAAAGAAAAGCTGACAGAAATAAATAATATCAAAAGAAAGGGATATGCAGTTTCTCATATTCATTCTTATCAGCAAAAGCACCAATCCATATCGAGGCTCTGACTCAGATTACGAAGATTCCTAACTTCATGAAATTGTGTAGATTTTCCCTCAATAACTTCGTCAAACTCGATAGACATTCAAAAATAAAATGCAATTTCCATAACATAAATGAAATAAAAAAAATATTATCGGCGTCTCCTGCCACTCGCAGACGCACCATATAAACTCGTCTTATCAGAAAATATGGTGTCAAAATTTTTCTACAAGAACAATGTCATTTATATCAGTAATATCAAAGTCATACAACTGAGATTTCTTCTGAGCAATTAGATGGGAAAGAAAAGCGAAAGAGTGTGTGCATGAGAGAGAGAGAGAGAGAGAGAGAGAAGGTGGGTAAGAAAGAGAGATTTTTCCTACGTAGAGATTCCGAAATGATTGGACAGAAAGCACAGGCCAGCTAAGTGCAATAACATTACGCATTCTGTGAAGTCTCTCAGTATCTTACAACAATGAACGTTACTCTGAATTTAACTGATGCAGAATAGGAACGGAACATCTTTGCATCCTGAGGGGTTAGGGGAGCGTGAAAAGAGCTTTTAAATTGCGCTAAACCTTTCTTCCAGCCACCAGTTTTTCTTGAAGCAATAAAAATGTTCAGCATGTGAAGTAACATTGGATAACCTTAGGACGTTAATCAAGTTTCCTTTTTTCGTTTTGCAAACATTCTTGAGTTTTTTCCTATTTTCTTTCGAATTCCGAATTTAAGGATTTCAGTAGCGATTAGGGCGATGAACTTTCCAGAAGGGGTCATAAGCAGTAAAGCAATTTTAGACCTTGGAGCCCCGAAGCTAGATTCTTGAAATCTTCAAATCTTCTGTCGTCCTTATTTGTCATCTCTTCTTTTGTTTCCGTTTTTTATTCTAAAATTTAAATAGCAGTCAAAACCTTTCAGAAATTAATTTCAAATGATAACTGATAAAAGTTTTCTTACAATTATAATAAAAATTGCCTAATTCTCGCAAGACAGCAAAGTGACTGACAATGAAAGTAAACATTTTAATAATATTGTTTTGAACGGACAAGCAAGATCTAAAAGACTAAATATGTACAATTTATATTATTCAGCTTCCCTGCAAATTATTAGCACCAGATATTTAAAAGTAAAATACATGTATCTGATATAGCCTGCGTGCATAATCCTATTCCCATATATATATATATATATATATATATATATATATATATATATATATATATATATATATATATATATCAAATTGTAAATGCAAAATTGTTCAAATCGAGCAAAAACAATATTGTCCGTTTGTGAGATTAAGCTTTAAACTGCTGTAACTTAGAAAAGATTACAAATATCTTACTGAAATTTTCCGAGGTTTTTAAAAGTTTATTGGACTCTAATTTGACAAATAACAATATATAATGACACCCAAGTTTAACAGAAGAATCGCGATGACATCAATCATCAACGGATATGTCATGTTCATCATGAATTAATCATAGCTATGGTTCGGTAGTTCATGAAGGATTGAAATTAAGTTCATATATATATATATATATATATATATATATATATATATATATATATATATATATATTCCAGGATCATTCTTCAACTCATGCCAGATAATAGTATTAAAAGTTCTTAATACATGGGTGAAAAAAATAAAATAAAGTGCTCAACACACGTGTGAAAAATCAAAGTAAAAATAACATGTAGAGCTTTTAACTTTAGAAATCAGGAGATCAGTTGAATCCGCTACCTTGGTTTCTATCTTACGGCATCCTCAGTCGATTTTTATCAAATGACCTCTTCTCAACGCTCTTTTAATTTGTTAATCTCGAAGCTAATAGTGTCTCTCCATACATGAAACCAAACTCAAAATTGACATACGTGAATATTAGATCCAAACATCCTCCCAAAATAATAAAGCAAATCCTTAAAGAAAGAAGAGTCTACGTTATCTAGAGACTCTTTTAGTAGAATAATCATTGATGATAAAAATAAAAAAATATGAGTAGAACTTAAAGTTAGAGGGTCACAAAACCAAACTAAAATTCAAACCTCAAATCAAACAACATATGATGAATAATCACGAAAAAAATATGATTTGGTTTAAACCCCTTTCAAATTAGAGATAAAATGTAAAATAGGAAAATTATTTTTCAAGTTACTTACTAAACACTTCCCTCAAAATTCAGAATTACATAATATATTAAATAAAAAACACAGTTGAATTAAGCTACAGCTGCACTAATCATTTAGAAACAATAATAAATAGACAAAAGGCCATGAATCAGAAAACTAACGGGCAACAAAATATAGTTAACGCTAATAATATATACAACTGAAGAAATAAGAATAGATGCCCGTTAAATTGAGCTTGTAAGATAGACACTGTCATTTATAAAGCAGCAGTAACAGATATTAATGGCCAAAATAAAACGTACATAGGATGTACGGAAGGTACTTTCAAACGTAGATGGTACAATCATAGGTCGTCTTTTAAGCTAGCAAATCTTAGGTACTCTACCAAACTAGCTACCCATGTGTTGAATTTAAAAGAAAAAACAACAAGGAGACAATTTTGTGGTGGTAAATTACAAAAAAAAATTGCAAAAAACTTACAACAATAACAATAATATTTTTTAACCTGTGCCAACAGGAAAAATGAGCGATTATGATATTTCCGGATTCAAAGGACAGTTTAAGCCAGAAATCCGAATTCTTATGTTCTTCCTTACGCATTAAAAATTATTTTTAAGCACATATGAGGCTGGATAAAAAAGTAATTACCCTCCACCATTTCTTCTTCTTCTTCTTCTTCTTCTTCTTCTCTTGCACCCACCGTTTTATAATTTTTTTTTTAAATCGTTAACAAGAGGTTGTGTGATACATAGATAGATAGAAGTAGAAGTTTTTTACCCATGTTTCCTGTTTAGGATCGAGTTTTTGCCCATTCTCAATTTTTCTCATTTTATCTCACACTCTCAGTAGCTCTTGCGTCCTAGTGACACCATGGCCTTACTTCAGAGAATTGACTTTAAAAAAATGTGCCCACTACATAAAAGATATAAAGCGTTAGCTTCGGAAAATAACTCTCAAACACAATTTACATTTGAATTCAAAATGTGTACGATTTAATAATATACACCCGATATAATTACACAGTTACTCAATATTCTGCCTACTACCATAAGGCATGAGGAATACAGCTAGAATAAAAAGTTGAGTAATTGTAAAGATAGAAAACAAGCATTGGATATTGTTGAAACTTGACTAATGCATGGAATAATAATGCAACACAAAATGTACTTAGAACAAAATGTATTGAAACAAGAAAGTGTACACAATATTTACATGTAGTCTTTTGTATATTCCTGGTAAGACCGTTCCTGAAGAATGTGTTGACTGAGTCGCAGTCGGGCAGAGTCTCTGGTTGAATCGCTTGATTCCTCCCTCTCTTCCCGGTACCAGCCATATTTATATGGTCGGTACTCCACTATGCAAATTAGGTGGATCCTACCACAACAGATATGAATTTTCTTCCAAAGGGCTTAGTGCTAATATGCGACTCTATTTAAATGGCAATATGATTTTCTCTGTTTCTAATACTAATTTCCAATCACTCCCTCTCTTACACAGCACTCTTCACTCTTCATATGGCTCTTTAGATTTCTCCGTTATATTTTCCAACCTCTGAATAAATAACTGAATTTTCACGTCCTTTTGACATCCCTGATGTGTCAATTATGCGTGGATTCTCATTTTTATTAAGAAACATGCAACCCAGTTTCGTGAAAAATAGGGTTGTTCTTTATCTTTTCAATTTTCTCAACTACCATATTTCAGTTTTGCTTCTGCGTCTATCATCAACACAGAATGATATCATTAGTCTTACGTTGTCTTATAATAATCTTGGCAGACCCTTTAATTTGCTTAGAAGCATCTTATACTTTATTAAAATTAGTGAAATACCAGTCATCACCTTGTTCTACCTTGCTATACTCAGCTCTTTCTGCATTAGCATACGGATTTTTGGCTATTCAGTTTCCAGAGTTACTTGCATTTTCTCAACATGCAGGCCAAGCTTTCTCCATCAGCCGGTATAATGAAGATATTAATGGAAGACAAAGAGGAAGTGCTGCCACGTTTACTGTGGTTTAATACTTTAAGATTTCCTTTGGCCAAGATGGATTTTCAGAAAAGTAGCGGCAGCTGTATTTTAGACTTAATGCAAAACGTTAACACAGTAGCGTATTAAGCACTCAGAGTGTTTTCAGTCACGGGAATTTAGCAATGTTTCCGACCATAGCAGACTTTTATTAGTCCCACATCTATCTTTATTGTTGCAATTCCTTCATTCTTTTACAAAAGTGATTTCAATAGTCTTGCTGTTCTTGTTAACTGCAACTCTAAGCGACACATTTTCTTCTGGGACGCATTGTTATCTGCTGAACATGTAAATTCTAACAACTCTTTATTTTGTCTTTATCACGATATCAAGGCGGGTGACTAAGATATTCTTATCTGTGTTGATTATTCAGTCCCTTAAGACAGTAACTTTATCATTCTGGAAACCCCAAAGTGATTTGGCTCTTTTTAACAAAGCGAATTTAGCATTGTCGAGTGTTAGTATAAATGTACTACATCTGTTACTACTCATTGACATTATAATTATTGTATAAAGAAATGTTAAATTTATCTCTTTAATATAATTTTCTATCTGATGTGTCCTATGTGGATGTAGGAATACTATGCACTGTAAGCTTGAATGTGCAGTTGGTGTAATGGATAATGGCTCGAAATTATTAATCTGAGAGCTGAGTTTCAATTCTAGTAGAGTTCGTTATCTTCACTATTGCGCAAAAACCACTTATCTCCCTATGGGTAAATTATTAAGACCTGTATCAATAAATCATTTTCTACAAAAAAATAAATCCATGTAAAAAATACTGCCTGATTTTAAATAACCTGCAAAGTGTTAATAATAGAACGAATCTATAAAAATATACCTGGAAATGAAGGCTCAGGTTTCTCCACAACTTACAATCTATTTTAGCTCTTAGCTATCCCTTCTCCCATCATCCATTCATAAAATTCCGTTAGTTAGATGTTCCGATATCCTTACTGATTATTTTGCATTTGATATGTCCTCTGAATGACAAATGTAACGTTAGTTTAGCAACTCATTTGTTTAGTTTTGTATACAAATTATATATATATATATATATATATATATATATATATATATATATATATATATATATAACATTGAAGTCAAAAACTTACAGGCGACAAGCTGTTCATGCTAGACGCAATAGTCAAACTTTCGCCGCTAATTGTTGACTTCAATGTTCACTTTTTTATTTACGCATGCTCTATCTCTGATAT